ACCTGATCCCATTGAACCTTCCCAGTACTGAATGTATTTTTAGACAATGTTGAACATTCTTTTCCCTTTTCAAACTTTTTCTGGCTATAGGTCACCAGCTCACCAGTAACCGCTGCATTTTTCACTGTCTTTTTGTTGTCAACTTTCCTATCCAGTTCACAAATAGTCTTGGCATAATTCCAGCCTTTCCTAGATTCTGAGACTATAGAATGAGCAAAACTAGACCTCAAGGCTCTTGAAACATACAGGCCAGCCAGCTACAGATATGTAATAGTAAATAATTATAATCTATTAAGTAAACAATATAAAAGTACAATGTGTAGTGACAGAGAGCAAGAATGTGAACAGGTGAATCTAAACTCAAAAGATAGACAATTATCATTATCTTTATGATCTTTCTTTTTTTCTCCCCCCACACAATTCAAATGTCAAGAATTACAGCCATGTACTTACACTACAAGTCTTCAGTGCTGGAATTCCTTTTTTTTTTTTTTTTAAGATTTTATTTATTTATTTATTTGGGAGAGAGAATAAGAGACAGAGAACACGAGAGGGGAGCGGGTCAGAGGGAGAAGCAGACCCCCCGCTGAGCAGGGAGCCCGATGTGGGACTTGATCCCGGGACTCCAGGATCATGACCTGAGCCGAAGGCAGTCGCTTAACCAACTGAGCCACCCAGGCGCCCCTGGAATTCCTTTTAATTTGTAAGACAGGATTCTATTCCTGGTTGCATGAAATGGTGACTTTATTTCTGTCAGGATGCACGTTGTCCACCATACAGGCCCCGAGGGCAAGGTTTGGGGAAATCTGTGACTGATCACTACTATGCCATCCTTGCTGTGTTCTTTGTTGTTTACTTTCATCATTTCTCAGGCTTAATCTTTTTTTTTTTAAAGATTTTATTTATTTATTTGAGAGAGAGAATGAGACAGAGAGAGAGAGCACGAGATGGGGGAGGGTCAGAGGGAGAAGCAGGCTCCCCGCCGAGCAGGGAGCCCGATGTGGGACTCGATCCCCGGACTCCGGGATCATGACCTGAGCCGAACGCAGTCGCTTAACCAACTGAGCCACCCAGGCGCCCCTCAGGCTTAATCTTTTAAGGTTATGATATCTACAAGACAAAGCCAGCTTCTCTACCATACTTTCAGAGAAGTATAGCATGTCAGCTTTTGAATTAACATATGAAAATCCAATTGTATCAGATTTTTGTTTTGTCAAAATTAAAGGCTCTTTTTTAATCTTTGTTCCTGGATGTAAAATTATTATTTTTTCTGTTCCTGAATATAATAGGTAATGTGTGCTTTAAAAAAAAATGATGTATCAAGTGCCTTTAATAGGAGTTTATTAATTCTATTCAGGTGCCATCGTAAGATGTGTATGCATGATTATTCTAGACTAGTCTATAACTCCTACCCACATGCTTACCCCCATGCACAGTGTAACTTCCTTCTATAGCTTCAAGACTCCCACGTTCCTACAAAAGCACTGTCCTACCTGTCATTTAGTCTTCACAACTAAATAAAGAAAAAGTTACGAGTTTGAAAGAGGCTGGCCACTCTGGGCCCCTCTTTTCATGAAGTCATTCTTCTCCGAAGATAGTCTAAATTATAGACTTAGCCAGAACAGCTTCTCCTCTTGTGAAGACTTTGAAGTCTGTTTATTCTTACAACATTCTGGTAGGTCTGTCTTGGTAGAAACTGTAAATAGTTTGTCAGGGTCCCTAAAGACCAAGAACTCTCTGTGGGCCTCGGGAGGTGTTAATTTTGTTAGATTAGCCTTGAACTTGTGGAAAAGGGCATATTTGGCACCAAATATCCAACTTATATGAGACAGCCAAAGTTAATTATTAAGAAAAAGGAGTACATGGATGATGCTTGGTCCAACGCTGGGTATTTTCCTTACTGTGATGGAAGAAGCCAGCTGAAGTCAATCTGTTTCATTTATGACTAAATTCCCAGGTGACTCGAGAGAAAACGCAGCCTCCTCTGGGGTTATTGGCAATAGGTATACACGTGCCAAACGTGACATGGGGTTAGCTTCCACTGGCAAGAGCCATGGCTGCTACAGCCTGGTCTTTCTGCCTGGGTTGTTGGCTCCTCTTGGAAACAGCATAGCCACCTCTCCCCCACCAAACGCTTGCAATGGCTTGTGCATGCACCACACTCCTCAGAAGAATCAGGTTAAAACAGAAGGGGGCGTTATTTCCAAGGCTGCTGCTCTGCCTTTGCCTCGGCTCCTACGAAATAAAGACAGTCTTTGGAGTCTGTTACGAAGCACACGTTTCCTGACAATCTCCCCGACTCTCAGTTTCCTGCTAACATAAAATGTCTACCACATAGAACTGTGGTAATGAGTGATTTCACAGGAATTGAGCTAGCATAGGTCAGGCCTTTGACAAATTGCAGCTATTGTAATTATTTAAAATGATGAATTTAAAAATAGAGAATACTTAAAAAAAAGCAAGCTCATGTGAAACTTCAGATCTCTTCAAAATAGGATTAAAATCAAATTATAACTTTAAGAAATTTACAGCTATGGTTTATAAGACAGAAGACAGATCCTCTCATAGTTTTTTGAATGGATAGGTAGGATGTAATCTGAAGGGAATCCAAGATGTTCCCTGGAATGATCAGCAGGCACTTCAGAAACATCACTCTTAATTGACCAGAGCACAGCTTCTTTTGTCCAACTTTCCCCCTACATTTTACAAGAAAAAACCTGGGAAGGACAAGCCAAGCCAAGTAAAAGGCATCTATCACTTTAAAAAAGAGTATATAACCCACAGTTGCATAGAAACCACATCCTTTGGAGTCATATGTGATTTTTTTTTTTTTAATGCAGTAGGAGTTGTTGCCACAGGATAAAAATTTAGTTGTCTACTTGCTTCTTTTAAGTAATACAAGTCAAGAGATGTTCCAGGCATAGTGTCCCTTTTTTTTTTTTCCCAGCTTTTACTCCTACCTCCCTGAGAAATGTATCTCTCGATTTCATCAGAACAAATACCCTTCAGAGCTCTAAGTGGAGAAAATAATGATTATGTGTTGTTAAGTACTATTTAGTAACAAAGGCTGGGGCCACGGGAATGGTGACATCACCCACAGAAAGAGGAACATTTACACTTTTGAAAGAGATTCTTTTCCAACGTGATGGGTCACCAACCAGAGGAACAAAGCCAAATAAGGCAGGAGGAGAGGACACCTGGCTCTGGGGAAGGCATCTTTAGCATCCGAGTCTGGAGTCATGCCCCAAGTCCACATGCTCTTTCTACTCTCCCCTCCTGAATCTAGTTCCTGTCAACAAGTGTGTACTATTCTTACTGTAGAAAACCTGCTACTCTCATACTTCAGTATATTTGCTGCTTGGTGAATCCGTCCACCTGGAGTAAGCAGCAGGTCAGGAAGTGGCTTCCTGTTTCAGGAGTGTTCTCTAAATAGTCACATATTGCAGATATCCATGCATTTACACACACATGCTCTCGGAAACCACACACCATCTCACACTTTGCAATAATCCAATGATACGTGAGTCATCATACCCGCGTGTTTGCATGATACAATGGACTGCATCACTTAAAAGCACGGAAGTCATCTGTACTCTTCCACACTTCCCAGGACGAGTAACATAATGATTTTCTATTTGCGCATTGTCAGGAACACTCAAAAGTCAGCTTGTGGCTCCTACAGTCTCGTGTCTGCCTGCCTTGGGGAAATTACCATGTGTTCCTCCCTACCCCACCCATTGTCATCCTAGCCACATTCAGTCCAACGCCACTGGTAGGTTTTGTTGTTGTTGTTGTTGTTTTTGTGTTTTTGATCATTGTCAGTTCTTAACCCAAATCAGAAATAGAAGCAGCCACACTTGTCATTAACTTCTCAAGTATATGGGGATGCCATTTGTTCTTAATAGCTATTAGGTTTGTTTAAATAGAAGAAGAAGAAGAAGAGGAAGAAGAAGAAGAAGAAGAAGAAGAAGAAGAAGAAGAAGAAGAAGAAGAAGAAGTCCTTTTCAGTAAGATATTCTGTATTCCCTTCCCAAATCACACTCAGCCTCCCAACTCCCCCACCCCCACCAAAAGTTGTGTCCATATAATTCTGGGATTTAAAATGTAATAATTCGATGATTTAGATCTCTTGGGATAATACAAATAAATCAGAGGAAATTTATAATTATTCTGAAAATGCAGTGTAAATAACTGCTACTTATAAAAAGAACAGGTTGATGCTGCAAGGGTCCCTACCATCATTGGCGCTGGGATTTGAGAAGAATAAATAAGAGAACATCTGTTGTCTCCAGAGACTGGAAAACAGCCTTTTCTCTAGTCTTATGTACTTCATATCCATGCAGAAACTAAGGTGGCTGATCACCCCATTACCAGACATCAGGCTACCTATTTCAATGGCCGTGATAAAGGTCGGTTATTCCTCAGGAATTTCACTGAAAAATCTTAAATTGACTAATTTAAATAATATTTAAGCCCTTTTCACTTTTATCAAACCCGTACCTGTTATAAAAATGAAAAGGCAAGAAAATGAGTTAACTTCTGAAGATAAACTCAGCTTACTTGAAATTTATCTAAATATAATAATTTATCACCTGAGAAAGCTTTTGACCTATGTAGTAATTGCTGCTTCTCTTCAAACAACAGTTTTTCCTAGCCTGTGTTAAACACAGATAATGAATGGGTCATCTGTTGTACCTATTTCCCCAGTACATACACGTGCCTGTCCTTGCAAATATTTGTTCACAGGGTACAACTCCTTGCCTTGGCCTACAACCTCGGCAACCTGGCCCTTGGTCAACCCCACCTCCCAGCTTCATCTCCCACTACCCTCTGAGACCTGGACTATTCCTTTCTGCTTTCCAGATAGGCAGATCTCATTCCTGCCTCTGCACTTGCCCATCATTCTTCCCAGGGTCCTCTGCATGGCACACTCAAACTTCTCATCATTCAGGTCTTAGCTTAAATATTTCCCTTTCACAGAGGCTGTCTTGGGAGGTCAGGTAGGTAAAGAAGCTTCCCTTCTCTGTTTCTCTAGCCTTTTATTTTGCTGAGTTGTCTTCATGCTGCTATCCGTCATCATCTGAAATTCCCTTTTCAAAAATTTACTTGTTTACTGGCTTACTCATCATCTTTCCCCACTAGACTGAAGTTCAGCTCCTTCAGGGTAGAAACTTGGTCTTGGTCACTGTTTTCCCACAGCATCTAGATGGGTGCTTAATGGATAATACTTGATATATGAATACATGAATAGATGCACTTCAAAATGGAAACAGAGGCTTCTCACAAGAATTAAAATCCTCTCTTCACATAGCCCACTTCTTGAGAAGAACTACAAAGGCAGGGTCACCAAATACCTCCTCTGGCTGGACCATAGAATAGAAAAAAAAAAAAGAAAAAGTGCCTCAATGTTAAATTCATGTAATATTAAAATGTTTTTCCAGTTCTTTGACAATTTTCTGAATTTTTTTGAAAATGTATTATCTGAATCCTTTTCCACTTCATCTGATGAAAACTTTGATCATTCAACTTTAATGCTGCCTCCCCCAGGGAGCCTTGTGCCATCATTGTATGAAGAAGTATAACTCTCAAGTATTTTAATGTCTCAGGTGACACCTTACATTTTTCATATCGTGGCCGAAAACTCACGTCTTTTGAGATTTTTCCTACTAGAGTATAAGATTTCGGAGGGGCTGCGCCATGTAATGTATGCATTTATAACTGTATTTAAACCAAAGCTTTGCCTACCCTGCTTCTCAGTATAAGTACTAGAGGCAGTATATTAATGATAAAGATCCATTGTAGAGACAGACACACCAGCATCAGTTTTGTGACCATTATCAAGCTAACTCTCAGAACCTTTTTTTCCTTAAATCTGTAAAATAGTAATAATGATACTTATTTCACAAAGTTAGTGAGGGAGTTAAATTTGTTAGTCATGTGAAGCACCTAATATACAATGGTATTTTAAAAACTGGTACTAAAACCTGGTACTAAAAATGATATGCAATGGTACTAAAAACTAGTACTAAAAAATGTAATAGTAAAGCTATTGTTATTAACATTATCATCATCATCATCATCATCATCATCATCATCATCATTTAGGACCTAGCAGTCTCAAGAACCAAGTCCTATGTTTATAACCTTAAACTTGATCTGTTGGATACACACACAAAACAACCCCAAACAGTTTTCCTAGAATAGCTTTAAAATCCACTTCAAGATGAAAAATAGAACCAGGAAATAATTACAAAACAATATGTGAACTATATGCATAGCCATGAGGCCAGCACAGGCAGATGGTTAATCAAGAAAGAATTCTGGAAGGAGATTGCTCTTCCATCTGGCTTGAGGGAAGCAATGAGCCCTAACTGGCAAGGGAGGGTGGGCACATGTTTTTCTTGGGGGTGAGGGCAGAGGCAGAACGAGTGCAAAGTCAGTGGGGCAGCAATACAAGAGCGATTGCCCCCAGGATTCTAAGAGATTAGTGGCACCCACTGTGAACCCGTCCCTTTTTAGCTCAGTGGAAGAGAGCCAATACACAAAGAAGAGAACTTCTCGGTCTATTTGTTGTCTCCAGGGACCACTTCTTTTGTTTCAGTTCCTTTCACTCCGTGTTAACAGAACTATCCCACCTGACAATTGCATGGCAGCTCAGAACACCACCATAACCATGGCCTCCTAACATGACCTTGGGAGATAGCTGTTATTTTTAACACGTTTGCTTTATTTGTATATGAGGCTCAGAACTGGTGAGGCCTTGTGCTTACTCATCATCTGAGTGCCTGGTATGTTCCATGTATTTTTCTAGACACTGAGGATGTAACATGAACAAAACAGACCAAACCCTGCCCTTACGGAACTTACATTTTAGTAGCAGAAACACAATGAGTAATTAAACAAAGAAATAAAGATAAAAATTTTATGTAGCATTGTGTGATCAAGAAAATTAAAATGAGCTGAAAGGATAGAGTGACTGGGTTAGGGACATGATAATAAAATATGTAGTTGGTCATGGAAGACACCCTTTAGGAGGAGCATTCAAATATCTGAATAAAGAAGGGTTGTGTCACAGTAATGTGTGGGGAGAATATGCCAGGAAAAGAGAGGGAAGAGCATGTTCAAAGTCTCTGAGTCAGGAATGAGCTTAGGATGCCCTAGGGGCAAAATAAGGAGTGGAGCCAGAGCATAGCGAATGAAGGGATGAGAGGTAGGATATGAGGATGGAGATGTAG